TCTTTGTAGGAATTCCACCAAACCGTGTCCGAATCTCATCTAATAGAATGAGATGTCGAGTCAGAAGCAAGAATTCTAGGAATAGCAGTGAGAAGTGATAAAGCAAGTCAAAAAGTAAGAAAGCATGGAACCTGCAAGCATTTAGGGTCAACATGTGTGCGTGTCTGCACGTGCATCCCCCATACATCAATCACTACCTGACGTTAATGACAGCACATGGTATTAATGACAAAGGCTTCATTCCTCAAGGGAAGAGCTGAATAATGTATTTCCTTCATTTGTAAATACGGAAGGGCATACTTCAGAGTGTTTTAAATCATATCAGTTAATATTTTTAAAGCATCCATATGGGTTAAACTTTCTTGATGTGTAAAATTGAAATATGAATCATTTTTGATAAAGCCAGTTATGTTCACAATTTTTAACATTTACATGTAGTTTTCACGTGAGTTAAAATGAATATTACACAGATCGGTTAATAGAGCCTTATAGATTCATTAGAAAGAGGAAACAAGTTAGAATGGAAAATATTTCCAGATTATTTTAAAACAATATTTTCATATGTTGAAATTGCTTTTTTAAAAAATCTGGTTTTAAATTTATCTTTACCTTTCCTTTTCCTTATTCATTATTAAACTATAATATTTGCAAAACACTAATAATCACGTCAGGTGACACAAACTACTAGAAGGTTCTAGTTGACTATTTCAGAACCTCTTAGACGAGACCCAACATCTGGTTGTGGTGCACCATCTAGTGGCTGCATGAATCACTGATGCCTGAGTTGCTTGCTTCTACAGCATTTTAGAAAATAAAGATGGCATGTATTTGTAGAGAATAATGACAATTCTAGAAGCAAAACCAAATTCATAAAACTATTTTCTTCTAAAATTCATATTTAAGTCATTTAATAAGCAATATAACTTCTGAAATGAGGGATATTCACAGTACACAGTATTTGAATATAGCACAGATAAATGATCATTAATTTAAATATACTACATCATATTTGAAATACACTGTGCACTGCTTTACGCAGAGGAGATACACAATTTAGACCAGTGGATGGTAAAAATGTACCTGCGGACGATCATGTGCATGTGATTGTGGAGATATATTTCTTTCTTTCTTTTCACTGTGTCTTAAAACTGCTTTATCACAGGCAGGTATTTGTAAAAGCATTAAAAAGTATTTGGTCAAAAATTTATGTTATTATGTAAATTGCACATTCATGAAAATATGTTTAATTATTTTTAAATGTAAGAAGGCACTCTTCAGCATTTGTTTTTTTTCTTTAAATTCCTTGCTACTATCTAGAAAATGTTCCTTTCGCACTCCTACAAATATTTTACTGTCTAAGTCCAAAATAGGTGACTGATCATGTACTAATTAAGCACAAAAGATCAAGTATTAAAGGTAAAATTAATGTGACTTCCTCAAAGAAAATTTCTCATTGTGACTTGCTCACCTCCCATAGCGTGCGTAGTTCTCATAAGTCATCTGTTATAATCCCAAGCTACACATTAATATTATTGGTCACACAAAAACAAACTTACTCAATATGCCTGAAGCAAAGGTAAGGCCAAGAAGATATTTATTAAAAGCAAAGCAGGCTAACCTGAATCCCTACAGAACTAGCATGATTTCTTTTTGAACACGAAGTTAAGGAATCTTAGATATAATTATAAATCAGAAACTAGTATGGGCTCACTTTGGAACACTGGCAGCAAATCAGCCAAATTTCTTTTTTTTTTTTTAAAAAAAAACACTGTTATTTGACTGACAGTTTAGGAAACTACGCCTTGCACACAGACAGTATCTCCCTGCTAAGTGGATGAATGGTGTTGGCATATCTTGGTTTGGAGCACAATTTCACAAGGACTTTTTTGATGTAGCTGTGATACTGAGAAATGTGGACTAGAAGCAGGACAATTAGGTAGATTCTCAACTATTGATTAATAAATTAAAACCCACGTGGATGGAAGTCTCTTGGATCACGTCTCAGAGCTTTTCCCCTCAACCTGCCCCACTCAATACTTGACAAAAACTGAGAAGCTGAAGGAGAGAGCTAAGACACCAAAGCAAGGTGAGCAGGGAGAGGTTCCAAGGCCATTTCAATTTATTAGCGTAAAGGGCCCAAATCAATATAATGCATATAGAGTAACTATTTTCCAGACTTGAAAGGGCACGTGCAGCCCACGTAATGATGACTCGGTCTCCTATCTCCCACAAGAGTTCACCCAGTCTATGGCCAAACACTTCAGTGAGAGGGAAGCCACAATCCCAGAGGGAGCCTTTATGTGAGGGACAGGTCCAGCTACAAAAAGAACGTCGCATGTTTAGGTCTAAAATAAATCAACTGTAGGTACAAGGGATGGACAAGATGCAGTTTTTAGCAGTTTTTGATCTAGATGATCTAGCAAAGAGAGGCAACTGCTAAAAGGCTTAACATCACCTTTACATCTATTTAGAGATGTTCATTAACAAGACCTCTTTGCTCAACCTGTGATGTGAAAATTTTATAGACAATAGTGATATACTGGAGGGTATCTAGAAAAATGTGGCTGAGAGAACTGAGGGTGCCTGATTTGCAAAAATGAGAATAATAGGGTTTTGTGACTGTTTTTAAAAGGAACTGGAGCCAGGAAATGAAAATGACAGTGTGATAACTGGAGCTGTCCCATTCAACCAAAAGGTACTGAGAGCCAAAGCCGAAGAAGAAAATTCAACACTAAGAGGTGAGGACTCTGTCCTCAGAAATGTCACCCAACTTGACTTGCAGGAGAAGATGGTCTCTGTCCCTTGACGCGTTTAAGGAGAGGTGGGAAAATCACTGTTGTGGTAACATTGCTCGACCAGGATCCACACTTGTACGGAGGAGATAATGACTGCTGCAGCTATAGGAGTCGTGAGGATCAAAGGAAGGAAAAGACATGGAAGTGTGCAGGGAACCACATAGTAGGTTCTCACTCTCCATGAGAGGTGACAGCCAAGGGAGTCCCCTAATTAGGCAACAAACTAGACTGTGACATGTAAAGTCCATTGGGACCCTAGGAGTCTATGACTCATCCTATTAATAACCCAAGCTAATTAATTCAGCCTCAGCATTCAAGGTTTACATTATTTTGAATCATAATGCACACGCCATGGCTCTTCGACTGTCACAGTGTCTCCTAAAACCTGTAAGATGCAATCCGATAATGCCATGGAGTTCAATCCTTTCATAGTATCTAATTAAACCTTTCTCTTTCACTGTTCATCACTCAGATACAGAGAACAGAGGCAGCCTGCAAAAAATGAGGCTACTATGTATTTCAGAATGTTCAAGGAAAATAGGAATAACATGGAGTATGTGATGATTCACTGAAGAGGGGTCACTTTTCTTTTTTTAACAGAACTTCTCCCATAAAGAGTCCGTAATGTGACCTAACCATACTTACTACTATGATTTGTGTTCACCACCATCTGCTATGGGATGGAGAATGCTTACCCAACTTTCACGTCTTTATTCTCATTCTCCACCTTTATGATAAAGAGATTGATTAAAAAAATAGCACCTGAGAAAGAAATGACAACCTCTCCTGGGGAAGCTCAGAATCAGTGGAGTGGGAAGAACCTAGAATTAAGTAGAAACAGGAAAAGGATTGGGAGCAGGGAAGAAAGGTGGAAGAAGCAATTTGCAAAATGTGCTGAATTATCAGAAATATTAAAGGCATGAATGCATTAGAGGAGCACGATTAAACTACAGATCCCATAATGCTCTTTGACTTTAGGCAAGCCTCCTATGCCATCACTTCATCTCAAAAGAAAAAATCATATTAATGCCCCACATCAGTGTTTGGGGTCACAAAGCAGTCCCTGTAAAGCAGCTTTGGCAATAGTCTGATACAATAACGTGACTGAGTGGCAAAGCATGCTGATTTAAGTGACCTTGCCGCCTCGTTGGGCAACGGTTTATAAAGTGTGGCTATTTTAACACACTTGTGTGGGGAGGACTGTTTCGCAGTCCCACTTGAGACTGTGACCCTTGACATTACCAGTGAGAGGCAGGTGTGGGAGCCTGACTCCTGTCAAGGACAGGCACTGGGCTGAGCTGGCTTCATCTGTGGCATGTTGCTATCAGGAATGTGTGAATGAATTTTCCTCTTCTATCTGCTTCTCTGAGCTTCACATATTCCAGTTACCAGCCACTTTTCCTGGAAAAGGCAATGTAATTGTGGGGTCCTCTTTCCACCTTCAGTCTCCTCCCGAGGTCTCCCAACAGGAAAAAGAAGGGATGCCAGGGGATGCTGGCTGAGGGACACAAAGGGCAGAGGATGGATGAGGTGGGCAGAGGGCTAAGTGAAGAGTCCCCAGCTGAATTCCTGGGAGGGTGGGCAGGTGGGGGTGGGGTGGGTGGATGATGACAAAGTCCGTGAATCACATGCGGTCTCAATTTCTTTCTCTAAACAGTGAATACTAAAAATCTCCTCCATATACAAAAAAAACCAAAAGCCAGTGAGAATCAAATGGAATTGTGGACATACTGCTATGCATATGTCCCTTTCATTTCATTGTGTTGGTTTGTTTTCTTATTCAGGGGACAAGATGGAGGGGGAGACGAGCATAATCTAAGGTGTAGTTAAGATGCAAACAAACTTAAGGAGAGACTCATTTTCTTTAGCTTGTTGTTTGATGTGCCATGTGGACATTTTAAAACCTGATACAACTAGACAATGATTAATTGGTGACGCTGATTATGAAGAAGACTAGATCACTGTGTTCACACCATGGCAGAAGTCTTTAAGACACTAAAGAAATACTTCACTGGGTATTGAAGTTCACTAAGACATAAGCCTTTTCCAGCTGAGAGAGGGAATGCATTCTGCTCAGAGAGGAACTCAGCTTCAGCGCCACAAACAATGGACTAGCACGAACCACCGCTGAGGCCCACTCATGGCCTGCGGGCCAGCAGCCAGCCCCTTTGGGACACTCGCGCCCTCAGGTGGGAAGCCCTGTACCTGTATGCGTCCTTCGGTGAGCCTTCAGGTGAGAGCTTTTTGTGTACACTTTGTTGCATCCCTCAAAATCACATCTGTGGATACGCCGTTTCCTGGAGTCTGGAGATTCAGACCGTCTCTGGCGTCTTGTGCTCTCAATACTAAACGGTGAAATTGAACTGGAAAAAGAAAAAGTGGAGTTAAGTGGTGAGAAGTACAGCATGCTGCTCTGGTTTTAGTGGCATGTGACCTTAGCCTCACAGTCTGTAGCTTCACACAGACTCAAGGCCCCATGTCCACACTTGCTGCTGTCACTTTCTCAGATACGTTTCACTTCTTAATCTTGAAGGCAGGAGGCTTGACCCATTTCTGGTGAAACACTCCTAGGGAAAGAAAGACATGCTTAAAACAAGACGAAAACAAAAACTAAGTGAAAGCAGCGGTGAGGTGAGTAGATCCCCATATCAAAAGGAACAATCTGGTGTTAAAGTTGTACCTCAAAGTCTTGAACTCCTGAATACATGAACAGAGAATATTTTAGGAAGCCCTGGTATAGACAAACGACACAATGAATGCATTTAATGAGTAACATGAGGGTCTGAACTGCGTATAAAATTACATGTAAAATCATGTAAAATCAAAGTACATTTCAAAACAAGTGAAGTCAGGCTGAAAGAAATGACATCAGTACATCAATAATATGACTCATGACAAGCTATTTCTGTTTGGTAAAATGCACCTGACATTTAACTTTTCCAGTTGGTGGTTTTTCATGGTGAGGAATAAAGAACATTGTACTTTAAGATTACCTGTACCACCATTATGAAGAAGTTTTAACTATAAAATTTGGCCCTGACTTGCACATTGTTTCATGTTAATGCCACAGTAGAAAAACAGGATTAGTTTGTGATGTCAGGTAATGGATTAACCTGTACTTCTTCAAATCTTAATCTCTTTTGATTGAGACAGAAATGAAGATCACAACTCATCTTTTTCAGTTATTCATGAAGTTCTTTAAAATTACAGTGAAATATAATAAAAAGCAATACCGTATTTCTGCTATAAAAAATTGACCACTGTTAACTGTTAATATTTTCAAGTACTTCTTCCAGCTTTTCTGTGTTTTGATCCTTTTAAAGATTACGTTTTATTAATAAATCACCTCCTTTTAAAAAACTGAGTATTACTATAAATGCCCCCCTTGTCTTCCATCAACATCTTGATCCCCAGTCCTCCTGGGAAATGCCTATTATCAGTTTTCTTTAAATCCTTCCAATTCTTTTAAATTGTGCTTACCTATACATATCTGCATTCATAGAAACTCACAATAGTTTTGTTTTTAAGAGACTTATATATCATGCTGTTCACATCATTTTGCAAATTGCTCTATACCTGCCTTTTTTGTTCACTCAACATTAAGCATCTGATATCTAACCATGTGGATATAAACACTGTAGTTATATTTACTTGAAGTGCTATTTACCATAATTCATCAATCCTAAGATGAATTTTTTCATATTTTAATGTTTCTAAAATCAGGATGCTGCTAAAGATGGCTTATCAGAGTTTAATTGGAAAGATTTTCTTTGTTAGTACATAAAGTAATGGTGCATTTTATAATAGATGGTATTTTAACTTAGATCAGGGGTTGGTAAACATTTTCTGGAAAGGGCTAGAAAGTATTTTATTTCAACTTTAAGAGTTATACAGTCCATGCTATAACAAGTCAACTCTGCAAACTGTAGCATAAAAGTAGTTATAGACAAGATATAAACAAATGAATATGACTATGTTCCAATAAAACTCTATTTACAAAACAGTCAGTGGGCTCTATTTGGTTGATGGACTATTATTGCTGGTTGAAGCCTGACTTAGATGAAATATGGTAGTAGTTCAGTGAATATTCATCCCAGAGTTTTCAAATACATTTCCTAAGTGATGGACATATGGATTATTTCTAATATTTCATTGTAACATTGTTCCAGTGACTTTTTTTTATTGTCTCCTTATACATACGTGCCTTTTAAGGTTTCAATGTATTTTTTCACTAGTACAAGTAACATACTCTGTAGCTAATGCTTTATATATTATTAGGTAAGAGCAAATATAAATGATGTTTGCATCCTTGTGTCTTGAACAGTTTTATGCAAGATCTTCCTTAGTAGAACGAAAGAACATGGGACAGCTAGGCCACTTTTCCCAGTCTTCTCATCAATCAATGTGGACTTGTGGTTTTCCACATAACTCAGTTTCAGGAATTGGAGCCTTCTGTGAAAAGAGTCAGAATAGTGTGACTGGTCTGCCCTGGGAAAGAACAGCTTTAGTCATTCCTGGCAAGGTGTACTCTGGCACAGGGTGTGATTCTTGGGACCAAGTAAGACTGTATACGTGAGAACAGGGCAACAGTAATTCATTTCTTGAATATCTAACCATGAAAATAATTATGGATCTTGGCACCGGGGACCTCAAAAATACAAAATTTGTGTTGTGATATGTTTGACATCTTTTAAATTGAGAAAGTGATATGGTATTTGTTTCCTATAAATTATAACTTAAAGTCTATATATACTTTATGTTGTTTTATATACTTTCTATAGAAGTCTTAATGTAACTTTGTATAATCACACACACATATCATTTTTCCCACAGTTGATTTTAACTATTTATCTTTGTGTAATCAGAGAAAAGTGAAAAATAAATATGAAATCAAAACCAAGTAACTATTAAGCAGGTTAAGGGGCCAGTGAAGTAATGTGGCTATGCAGCCCATCAACCACAGAACTATATGGCAAGCAGAGAAAGAAAAGCAAACACTATGCAATGGCACAAAATTACTCCACTAAGAGTTATGAATTTACATCAAAATGATGACGCATAGGTGGATAGCTTAATGCTGTAAAACTACACCCTAGTTTTTCTCATTTTTAAAGTGCAATGTTTTAGGGCATTCTGAAGGGGCCTGTGCAATGGCTATTGAAAAAAAAATTTTTTTTGAGAGGTATGTGCAAATGAATAGTTGTATCCAGCAAAGTTGGCTTTGAAATAACCTCCAGTGGGTAAGATCTCTCCTTGTTTTGCCTTTTTAAATGGCAGAGATATCCTCAGAAGATGTCAACGCATCTTGGGCTAGGCAATACCTTTCAGAACTATTGATTGGATCTCTTTATGGAAAGGCAGGAAGGTCAGGGGGCTGAAGTAAGAGAGGACCAGAAGTACAGAAGAAGGTGAACACAGGAAGATGAGACACACCCCAAGCCCACGGAGGCCTACCACTACTCTGCGGCCCACAGGGATCCCACAGAGGGCAGGCACTGCAGCTGGGCAGCGGCTGTGGCCTGGGGGTTTGGCCGAGGCAAGTCCCTGGCAGGAAATGTGACAATTAAGGTGCTGGTAACAAGTATATTTATGTCTCTAGAGCCTAGGACATTGTAGGAGTTCAAGAAATGTTTCCTAAATAGAATGAACGGATGGATGGATGAGTAAAGTATTTCTACTCTTTAACTTAATACAGTTAATTAATTAATCCTTAATTGGTTAATTAATCCTTACTAGGATCCTTTGATTGTAAGTCTTCAGAAATGCTCAATTTCTCAGCCTTACTCTCATTTCCATGAGTTTTGTATTTTAAATGCTATAGAAAGTGGTTACTGATTATCAGAAGTCCAGATAACCATTAAAACCTTTTGTATGTAAGTGTTTCAATTCTGTGCTCTAAGTTCCAAAGAAGGGCATTTTAAAGCATTGCTTATAATTGAAATTCGCAGTGGGAGGCCACTGGGATTCCTCTGAACATGTAGGATGCTGCTGAATGAAATAAAAAATTTTCCCTTTGACCCTAGTAAGGATCCAGTAAGTAGGAAAGGGTGAAGGGATGATCTTAACTCCTGGCAGCACTGTTCTGTCCTGTCTCACTCTGGGGCTCATGGGCTTGGGCATTTGGTAACAGAACAGAGCAGAATAATTACACTTTGGGTGTTTCTATTCTGCCCTTTTTTATGCTTTCTGAGCAACGCACCCTTTGTTTAGAAGGCACTCAAGGTATCAAATGCATGCAAACTGACTTCTTTGCTTCAAAAGTTGGCCTTGTTCTTAAGAATGGAAATGCGCAAGTAGCGAACTACTGCCTACGCCAGCACAGGATTCTTCCAATAATCCTTAGTAATAAGCTTGGTATGATGAAAACGACACAGGTGAAACAGCTGCGGTGTGTTCCCAGACACTGTACGAAATACATCGGTACAGTTCAAAAGAACAATAACTAAAGGCCCACTCCCTTCCCCAGAAGGTTAGATCATTTCTAGTAGTGAATGAATGCCTGATGGGGCCGCACAGGCACCGGGTTGTGATAATTAGATCCAGAGAGAACAAATGAGTGAATCATGACTTCAGTTGCACAATAGTCCCACTTGGAATAGTAAGTTAAATTAGAATTAAACCCAGAGAGGCTCAAAAAGTCACATCCAGGAACAGCTCTATTTAAATAGCAGGTACTGCATGACTGTCATGAAAGAAATTAAGGTTAACTGTAATCAGCAGGTAATAAAAGACCATTTGTTATGTGTGACCTTAACGCCATAAGATGCCCTTCACTGAAACTAGAGTTTCTATGCTTGTTAGGGAAAAAAAAAAACCAGGACATTCTTTTAAGGATAGAAAGAGGACACAAACATCCCAAATTTTAAAACAAGGGCAGAAAGCAGTGGAATAGAAAGTATAGAAGCAAATTCACACATACTGTCTGGCCAGAATCTTGTCTGGCCAGAATCTCGAGAAGCATGGTTGAGGATACCAATGACACCTGACATTTACAGAACACTTACCATGTGCCAGGCACTGTTTCTAAATGCTTTAAGTTCAAAGCAACAATCCGAGGTTGGTATTATTAGTACCCTAGTTTACAAATGAGGAAACTGAGGCACAGAAAAATTACGGCCAAGGTCAAATGAAGCAGGTGGCCTTGAACCCAAGTGCATGACTTTAGATAGAACCCAGTCTTGGTTGTTACTTTCTACTGACTCAGATACATAGAAGTGATATAAATCAGCACATGACAAAATATGAAAGAGCAAGAAAATAATCTGTACTGTTTAATTTTTCCCTCTAGTCCAATTATAGAAAATGGCACATAAAAGCACTCATAAATTAAGCCTGCTATAATAAGGGATACACTTTTCTCTTG